CGAAAGCATTTAGTTGATCAACCAAAATTGTAAATGCAGAAGGACAGCTCTAGAGAATTTAAAACAAATTGCTTGTTTTCGATTCTGATCTTCAAGGCCAATTAAAGGACAGGATATCTCGCATGTTTATAACTAAAAGAATAAAAATTGGAAAGGGGTGTTTTTTCCTGTGTGTAAGTGGGTGAAGGGATAAAAAACGCGCACGCATGTATGCGGGACATACAACAGCGTGCAAGTAAGAAAACTCAAGATCACGCCACGAAGAAAAACGATCAAACTATTTACATATCCGGTACATTTTTATTAAACGTTAACTCCTCCATCATATAAGGTTAAGAATTTGTGAGATAGTTGATAATTTGACCCAGTCCTTCCCCTGTAATTGATTAACGGCGACGTCTTCGGCCGACACTCTGTTGGTTGATGTTCAAAACTTGACCTTTTTCGTTAATCTCTTCCATTCCGCTTTTGTCCTGCTCAGAAACACACTTGAACTGTCGACAGCGACACGCTCTAATCTCGAAAAAGTTTGTCGATCGGACTTCATTGTTAGGGCAGTCCAGAGTAGCAGTCCAGAGTTTTGCCACTGACGGCTGGCAACATGCGCAGAACGAATCCAAGCCGGTCTCGCCATACGTTGAAGTGGACGTGGACTCGCACGTTCCGCGGCATGTGTTGTGCTGATACTTAATCCTGGACGTGCAGTTTTCCTTTGTCTTGATGTAATCAAATTTTCCCTTGTTTAGTAAACAATTGCCACTGCTAGGACCCGGTTCTATGAAAAATAGTAAGGAAAAGTTATTGTTAATTATTAATTGCTAGCTTAAACAAGTTTCACAGGTTGACTCAACAGAGAGCAATTCGACAGCGGTCCACAAGCACTAGCCGGATCCCCGTGTTGCGATTCTAAAATACTTAACTCTCACAATACCTTTGTTTAGCCAGAGATACAAAATGGTTTCGGCGGCCTGTCAGGGAATTTTGACTAAATATGGGGGAGGGGGTTAACTGACAATCCGTCGAGGGAGGGGGAAAAGGAATACGGGCTACTCCTATACCAACTGAAACCGGAATCAGCTTGGGGAAGGGGAAAAAGGAATATTCGTGACCAGCTGAAACCGGTATTAGCTAGGGGGAAGTTGAGTCACTGGACTTCCAAGCTCAATTTTTCCCAATCTAATCTAATTACTGATATATCTGCTAACGGAAGATCTCATTCGCGAAAATTAGCAATAAGTTACTTTGTGAAAATATTGCAATGTGTTGCACTGGAGTTTTCATATTTATCACAAATTAAAGAGGCGTCTCGTTTAGATCACTATTCTTTTAGCCTTGTATAACTTAAATTGTAGGCATCTAGGACCCACTGTTTACGAGAACCATTAACAATACTGATAACAATCACCTTTACATACTCTCACCATAATGAAAGATGAAATCGGAGTTGCGAGAAGGTTATGTTTTGAAAGGATTACCAAATCAGTATAGATATCTCAACCAGCAAAATAATTTTACTTCTTTGCTAAATTCTTTGGTTTTACAGATCTTTCTAAGTCTACTGCACCCAGTCCTTCTTTTTTTGTGCGTGAGTGTGTGTGGTGTTTCTTTTTGCCCACATCAATCTCGACCTTTTCAGATCACCTGAGATATGCAAAGAAACTAAGGTTCCGAGTGGCGTATCGTAACATGCTCACTACTTCCGGAAGAGGTCGACTTAAACAAATTGCGAGAGGATAGATTAAGTGAGGTGATATACTTACCTCTCGAGATGCAGATCATAATGAGCCTGTACTTTTGGTATTTTTCGCCCTGTAATATATTGGTGTCTAACCATGAGCATGTCGATAGGGACTCCTGTACTTGGTTTGGATAAAGGAAAATTATCACTAGACAATAACATAGATATAAATATAGCCTAAGCTCAGATGCTCACCGTTGGGCATTTGTCGCAAATTATATGCTCTGTTTTTATCTGTGCACTTTGTGAAACTGCAATAAGCGTGTAAGTCTCCTGGCCTTTAATAACAACACCACAAACCAAATTCGAATGAAGATTTATTGTAGCCGACGTGCTTGGTACTAAGAGTGTGCATACAAACAGCGTGGATTGAAAATTGTTTCGGCCAGAGAAAACTGCTATAAAGCGGACTGCGAATAACGCGAAGAGACTTGCAAGAAACTAAACAGAACTGCGCTAAGCGCGGACCAAAATGAACTGCCCAAACTGTACTGCAAAACTACGATATGAAAAATACGCTAGAACATGCGGAAAATAAAACTATAGAAACTTAGAAAGGCGCTAATGAAGATGAAACAGCACAGAAACGCTAACGAGGGCGCGAAAACTGACAGAAAGGAATAAAACACCTAAATTAATGCCAAAAAAAAAGACTAAACAAATGGACGAAAAGAAGTATAAACTAATTTGCGTACGCAAAGGAAAAACAGATTACGCAAGAACGAATAATAGAAAAAATGTTACACTTGGATCTTACACTTTGGTTAAGAGGGTAGCACGGGTTTACAGTAAGTTCGCACTTAAGCTTCAGGCAGCTCCCGTCTTTCCAGGTAGTGTTGGGCTACAACAACACAAAAAAACATCAACATTGCAATGCCTTGGAAGAGAGCAACATATTTCAAAAATTATCTAAGAGAACAATAAATAAAGATCAGGAAAAACAAGGGTATACTCTCATCATCCTGAAAGTGTTGCTCGCCAAAATACCCTTCTGCCCCTTTCAGTATTGTAAAATAACAGAAAACCAGGTGTATCATTGTAGTAAAATTGTAAGAGTATTAGGGATAACATTGGTGGAGGCTACTCGATAAGATTATGCCCTCCATGGTATCGTGTCAACATTTTTGCCGCCGATTGAAGTCATACTCTCTGTTTGTGACGGTATAGAAGCCATTTTACTCACCGCATGATATTCCGTGTCATTTTTGCTGTTAATGTAGAAGCAAGATGGACAGATTGACGATGTGGGAATAAAAAGAAATTGGATACTAAATTTAATACACAGAAACAAAATATTATAAAGGTTCTGCATCAGGTATTTATTTTTGTCAGAAGTATCTCAGCGGGCCGGAATCTCAAGTCATCGAATCTGATTGGTTAATCATGTGCTCGTAACGGTCCAGCTTTCTAAAATGCAGATTACGGCCCGTAATTTTACTCCCAGCCATTCTTAGTAAAGTGGAATAGAGAAAACCGGAAGGAAAAGTTAATATATTATTTACCGGTCTGATTCGGTCCCTAAGGGGAAAATCTGTACCGTTGGACTTGAGCACAGTTTTTCCAATACACACCACCCGCCAGGTAAATAACGTTTTCTAATCCATACGAATTTAAATTTGATCCTGAAGGAGTTTATACGATAAACCGCGCAAATTTTCGTAAAATGTACGCAAAATTGCAAAATCATACTTAGTTTTCCTCGAGCAAGGAAAGATTAAGCTCGTATTCCATGCTTAATTTTTTCTCAGATTTTTTATCCAGTGAGAATTTTCAGAAATTTTAGGAAATTTACAACGTTAAATAAGGACTAACAACATTC